AATCGACTGAATCAAATCAAAATTACTTTTTTTTTTTTTTGCCTTTTTTCCCGCTTTACTCTAATATTTGATAGAAAAATTTGTTTTGCAAAAATTGAATTATTTAAAAATTGTTCGTGCAAAAGTAATTAGTATTGTTAGCTAATAATATGGTACTAATTGAAATATTAGCATAATAAAAGCTTTTAATTATTGATCGGAATAACAACAAAAGTCTAATGCTAATATTTGATATCAATAGTTATGCTTATGCTTACCGTTGGTCAAAAAGTAATCTTAGTTAATTTCTAAAACAGAGATTAATGATGGTGGGAAAAATTAACAGAGAGAGAGAGAGAGAGAGAGAGAGAGAGAGGGAGGGAGAGGGAAATACTCTTAGTACTTCCATTTATCTTTAACTTTAACATTTAAGGATCAATCATTGATGATTACTGCTACTATTTCTAATCTGAAACAATTGCCTATTTATCATTTTGTGGTTTTTTCAAATAAATTTACTTTTTACTCTCTCTCTCTCTCTCTCTCTCTCTCGTAATTTTTCTCATCTCTCAGAAATAAATGAACAAACTATCATCATTCATCATTTCTGCACATCACAACATACCACATACCGTTTCTTTTAATTTTCATCCAAAGTTTTTTCACTTATTGAATTTATCTTTTTAGCATTTATGACTGAAACACTAATTGAAATTTGATAGCAACAAATAGTTTTTAATTTAAATAAATATAGAAATACTAAACTATGTTATGGTGACGAAGAAATTTCAGATTTTATTAACAAATGAAAATGATTTAATTAAATTTGATAAAACTTTTTACAAAAAACCATGCATTGCTTTTATTTCAATTTATTTTGAATTCACAAATAACACAATTTTTCACTCCTTAATATCAAAAAATACCCTATATATATTTTTTTTTCTGAGACTTCAATTTAAAACTCCAAACTTTAGTCTATGTTTCATGATTCAGAGCAGTGCAGAAATACTGATTTCAGAATTTAAAGAAACCATGGATCATGAAAACGGAGGCAGAAAAAAGAATTAGAAAATGAAATTTTAAAAATTTATGAGAATAATAATTTTGAATTTGTGTAGCTCAAGCAGAAAATCATTTTTTTTTCGATTAAAATTTGATGAATAATAACAAAATCTTTTATTATGAAAGAAAGTTTATTTTTTTTTTCTTTAATCGGTTTGTTTTGTCCAAAAAATCTTTAATAATAAATGATGAATTTTTGAAAAATAGTATTTGTACAGTTGACTGCAAAAAAAATAAGAAAAATGGCAAGCAAAAATTTGAAAAAACGAAAAAAAAAAAACAACCGGATGTTTTGTTATAAGGGAAAATGTTATTATATTTTAAACAACAATTCTTATTCTTTTTTCTTTTTTTACGTAGTTCACGTATTTACGTAGTTAGTTCAGTGCGTATATTTTGCATTACTCTTTTATTTTTTTATATAATTAAAAAAATTTTATTTTTCTAATTTAAAAAATGAAACAATAATACTGAAAACGAAAATGATGACATTTGAGTTGATTAAAACAAAGAAAAAAAGTATTTTATTTTTGTTGAATAATGTTTCAACTATTATTGCATGTCATATTTTAAATATTTAAATCAGGATATCATGTAAGGCAATGATTCTGTAAACACTTTTACAGTTAACTCTTATCAGTGTTAGCCGAACAGTTAATGTACACATACTTTTTAGTAATTTAGATACTTTGTCAATTTTGTATACAATTAAAATTATCATTTAGAACACTGAAATCATCAAGTATCAGTTCATATTTGTGTTTTTTTCTTTCTGAATTACCCACGTGAAACACGTATTTTTTTGAATTACTCACGTAAAACACGTATGTACATATTTGTTCAATTAAAGATTGATTTATTTAAACGAGGAGAAATACCATCTGTACTTGATATTACAGAAAGACATAAAATTTATTTTCAATTTGTTAATTACGTAAACACAGGGGTAATTACTTGTTGTTGTTGTTGTTGTCTTGCACAAAAAAAAAAAAATAAATAAAGTAGTCAAAATGGCTGCAATCGATCTTCAGCACTATTCCACTCAATGCAAAATGACCAGAGACAGAAATTGCGGAGACATATTTGATGTATGCCATACGTTTTGGTTTGTTACTCACTCATACTATGAAATTCATTGTGACATTTTCCTGTCAATCTCAAAAAAAAAAAAACTATTTGTGCATAGAGTATGCAATGCTTAAATTTCTTGTCTATCCGTTCTGAATTCATTTCCTAAAGTTTTATATAAAATGAAATATCGAATGAAATGATGAGAATTAGACTGAAGAAGAATGGAATTTAAAATTGAAGTATATATAGGGTTGATAGTCTTTGAACAATTTCATTACCGCCGTGAGAGAGAGAGAGAGAGAAAAAAAAAGAAAAGGAAAAAAAAAGGAACGAACGGATGGAGAAGAGAGAGTGAAAAGAGTGGACAGTTGGTACCAGCTGGTGCAGGGAGGACCCCCTTAGCAACCATGCCATCATTATTTATGCATATGTATGTAATATTTGTGGTGTACACTGCGGGAATTGAAGCATCTGAGGGGACACAAATGACAGGTCGCAATAGGGCGGGTATCTTTCATACCTTTTAGTCTCTTTTTTTTTTTGATTTGTTAAAATTATTTACAAACAGCAGTAATAACAAAACGAATATGCGTTCATTATCATAAAATGTTTGCTATAAATGTGTTACGAAATGCAGATAGTCTGATAATATCGTCTGATAACATAACCCATAGATAAATGATAAACAAGATGACAGTGTGTGACAGCTAACTATTTCACTGCTAAATGACAGTGCTTCCATCGTGACCTCTCACTATTTGTGGTCAAAATTTTCTCTCTCTTAACAATTAAGTTCAAAGAATATTACTTTCTGGCATTTATACAATGATAAAATCATCATTGTTAATTAATATTTATGCAGAAATAATCTAAATTTTGCTTATTTATGAGCACTCTAAAAATGATCCTATAATCCTGTATTGAATTAATAAAATTTTAAATTTAACTTAATATTCCATTAAATAGAACGCTTCATTCAATACATTGTCTGAAATTAATTTATGCATAGCATAGCTTTCCCGTTTTTGAACAATGTCCTTTTGTTATACCTGGCATTATTCAAAAAAAAAAAAATTTTCATTTTCCATTTTACAATTCTTTTTTTTTTACTTTTACAATAAATTTGATTGTGAAATTATGCTTAATTTGTTTTAAAGAGCATTTTAGTCTCGCGTAGACAAAAAAAAAAAAATCCCTGAGGATGGGCTAAATAAATAAGTAATGAATTATATTTTGAATAGAATTGAAAAAAATTTATACTAAGAAAGAAAGGTAAAAAGAGAAGAAAATCAATTGTCCAATTAATAAACCAATTAATTAATTTATTAAGATACTGGCCGGATTTACCGGATGCTACTCTAACTGGAAATAAAAAGGATACGTCTCCAACAGTGACAATTAAAAAACAATCTTTCACCAAAAGAATCTTTCAACAAAGGTACAAATTCTGAAATATGGTATTACTACAGACTCATTGTACTTGTCTGGCTGGATCTAAAACCATATTTGTAAAACCTGATCGCATCCTGATCCTATAAATGCGATCTATTATTTATTAATAGCTATTAAAAAATAACCTGGACATATAATCTCTATTAAAACCGTTCTATCAAGGTTCCATATATGATTCCATTACAATTCAAACACCTGCAAATCTTCTTCAACTCACAAAATGGAACAAAAAGTAAAAATTATTAAACAAATTTTAAGTGAAATTACAAAAAATGATTGGAAAATGATGGATTCATGTTGCTACTATCACAGTCTTAGTTTGATGCTTAAAGGCATAAATCAAATTTGAATATTTGGAATGAATAAATCGAGAAATTTTCCAGTCTTCTGTTTCTGATAAGCTTGCAATGCTGCAGTTGTAGCGAATGCATAGCAACTGCTACATTGTTTCTGCAAAATTAGTTATAAAAAAATTGGAACAATTTATTTAGAATGATTGAAATGCAAACTCAAAGTTAAGATTTCAAGTAATCACTATGTAGTGATATCACCATACTGCATACATTTTCAGCTAAAAATACACCTAATTGATATGCTGTGGTCAATCATGATTTGTCGTATATAATATGAATTTGATCTCGACTAAAATTTAGATCAATAAAATGTCGCAGTCCACGCATACCGTATTTTTATGTTATCACTTGGATGGTTAATAAATTGTTTTAGCAAGTGTTAAACATTTTTCATTATTGACAAATCAAAAAGTATTCTATTATATATCGAAACCTCCTGTACCTCAAATGGATTGATTACAGTTTGGTGTTTTGTTTATGTTTTTTTATGAAATGTACAAAACCTCAAAAGTCGAAGAACTATTTTCGCATTCAGAATCAGTGTTAATGAGATTTAAAAAATTTTAGAAGTTACGATTAAATTTAATAAACATTAAAACTTGCAAAACAAAACTGTTGATGGATTAAAGGATTAAGCAGCAAAAAGTAATTAAAAGATCATTTCAAAAATTTAAGAAAAAAAAAAAGCCTAACTCGGTTTGTCGTTAAAAAACAAGACACCTAAGCTTACCGTAAATGAAATGTATTGAATTACCAACCAGATTGTCTGCATAAATTTTGATGAGACTAAATTGCCCTTTTGTTTACAGTCTTACTGTTTTCTAAGCTGCCAGTATAAATTTCTTTTAATTCAATGGATGAATTTCCATCAACGCTTTCGTTTTGATTATTACTATTATCGTTTACGGATATTATTGTTTATAGTAGCGTTTGTTATTGCAGATATTCCCATACAATGAGTATATTTGTTTTTTAGAAATTCATTTCTTAGAATAATATAGTGAAAATATAATCAACGTTGGCACTTGATTGATAATCAAGCTGTATCAACAGACTTCCATTCTTATTTAAGGAGAATGAATGACGGTTCTGCAGTATCTAGAAAACTTAGACATCGCACTGATGTGGACAACTGCGCAATTGGCGGTATTCGCCTTCCTAGCCGATTTCGCTGTCGCTGGGTGAGTTTTCAACAGATTTTTTCATCCTCTCTGCAAAATTTATCTCGAAATTAAGCAGTTTCTCTCGCATGCTGAATTTATGTTAGCTGAAGTTCCATCCTGACATGAAATCTAAAAATTAACAGTAATGAATTACCTGAGAATTGCCACTTCTTGAGTACAGCATGCATATTCTCAAGCAAAAATGCAGTCGTAACATCTGCATGCATAATCTGCAGTCATCAGAAAACCAGCAGAAATACCGATAATTCGGGATTAGTTTATTTATAGCAAGAAAAACCAAGGCTTAAACTTGTTATGAATAAAACAATTTTCAGCGAAATAGAACAGCTGAAAGAAGTTCTAGGAAAGTTTAACAAAGATTACAAACAGGGCAATATGACGAGACTTGCGTCCGATTTCAGAAGTGCATTGAAGGAATATGGCGATGGTTTCGTTTTCGTTCTTATTTCACTTCAAATTTTAACCTTTTGAATGAAGCAAACCACTTAAATTAATTTTCATCTGAATTTATTGTAGCAGAAAAGTTAGATTTAAAAATTATGAATTATCATATTTTCAGGACAACAAGGGTGAGCACGATTCTATTTCACTGAGTACCATATGATTTCTATTGCAGAATTCTGATGGCACTCACTGAATAAAGCATTTGAAACTTATAACATAATTTGGCTTACCTTCAACACTTCTGGTTGCATTTTTCTTTTTATGGGTGGCTAATAAAGCACTCTCGGAATGCAGCATAAAGGCACAGAATCTGAAAATTAATGAAATAACAAAACGAATAGTTCAATTCATAAATTCTTAATCCCGTAGGAAATTGAAAGCAGATTGCATAGTTTTCTTTGGAGCTATCTTAGTAAAATATATTAAAATATCTAACTTAAATTAAAATAGGTAGAGATTTTTTTTACTCTCAAAAATTCATCCATAATATGCTGTAAATTTCAACAGGGAATCGACCGTTGTGCAAGAATTCTTGAAAAAATGGAGGACAATGGCGAGCAACGAGCAATGGAAAAATTAGAAACCGAATGGAAAGATTATGTAACCGCTCTCGGTACAGTTTTCCATCATTGATACTTCAGAAAAGTAACTCTGTTCTGTGTGCATTTTCATTTCAGTTTTAAATTTTTCTTTTGTAGAACTAAAATTTTAGATGAAAGAGCAAAATTGCTGTGAAATAATTCTTGCAATTTGCAGGAAAACATTACGATCAAAAGGAAAACAATTTTAGAATGGCAATATTTGAAAGCAACGAATTAATGACGGAAAAGATAAATAAAAAATATGAACAAGGCTTAGTTTCTTATACAACGGCCCTCAATGACTTGGCTGATTTGGTAAGTAAAGTGAAATGGATTTTGAAGAAAAAATGGGAAATGGGATAGCGATATATGATTTTGATCTTTTTAAATAGAAATTGTTGATTTTGACTCCTTCTTTTCTTTTTGATTCAATTTTAGACCGATGAAGAATTTATGGTCAGGAATGGACTTCGACTGCCCAATCAAACTGATCTTCGTGGGAAAAGGCAGACTTCTGAATTTTATAGGTATGATAAAAGCGAGCGACTGCCAGATCAAGTTGACTGGAGAACGAAAGGCGCTGTAACACCCGTTAGAAATCAGGTAGGACCTACATGTAGCTTCTTGTTCGCAATTTTATATTGATTTAATTTCAACCGCAACATAACTAGATTTAACAAGTAATATAGATCGTCGAGTCAGAGTTCTTTAGCGATCGAGAATATAGTAACTATGCGACATGATCTTGCAAGAAGTTGCTAAAGTTTTCATGATGATATGACTGATATGACTGATCACAGCATATCATTGGGATGCTTGATCTGAAAATGAATGCAATGCAGCACTGATTGCAACACTGATTGTTTGCTTTGAAATTTGGTTTATTTGCATTTGAATCGTCCTAAATAGATGGATTAATTTTTTAGAGGCTGATGGACTGATAAAAAAGTGACATCTAATGAAAACTAATTTTGCAGGGTGAGTGCGGTAGTTGCTATGCATTCGCTACAGCTGGAGCACTGGAAGCTTATCATAAGCAGAAGACCGGAAGACTTCTTGATTTATCCCCTCAAAACATTGTTGACTGCACGTGGGACCTCGGTAACAATGGTTGTAGCGGAGGCTATATGCCCACGGTTATTATCTAACCTTCCTTTATAAATTATTATTAATTATATGAATCTGCAAGTTCTGCTTTTTGTTTCATTTTATGAGCTTAAGAAGATTTTCAGGCATTCCAATATGCAGCGAGAAATGCAATTGCAGCGGAATCGAAATATCCGTACGTTGAAACTGAACAAAGGTGCAAATGGCAACAAAGCATCGCTGTTGCTAAGGATAATGGTTTCAACCAAATACCGCGGGGTGACGAATTAGCACTTAAACATGCCGTAGCCAAACGTGGACCTGTCGTTGTTGGAATTCCCGGATCGAAACGCTCATTCAGATTTTATAAAGACGGTATATTATATACGTCTAATTAAGCAATTATTTATGATTATTGTAATCATCATTATTCAACTGTTGGTATGACAGTGTTAATGTAACCATGTTTATTTTTATCTCTGTTTCATATTTCCACTCCTCAGTATCTGATATTTCAGGTGTTTACTCTGAAGGAAACTGCGGTCGTCCTAACCACGCAGTACTGGTGGTTGGTTACGGAACAGATCGATCTTATGGGGATTACTGGATTGTTAAAAACAGGTTTGCCGCAGTTCATCTGTTTTTATTTTGGTTTCCCTAAAAATTTTGTTTTAATGAAATGGACTCAGTTTATTGCTTCCAGTAATGCTAGTATCAGTTAAAATTTTTTCAGTTGGGGTACCGATTGGGGAAAAGATGGATATGTTTATATGGCACGAAACAGAGGGAATATGTGCGATATCGCCTCTATGGCTTCATTTCCCGTTTAATACTAATTAAATTTGATATTGGAAGATATTTGTTACACTAAGGTTTAACTTATGATACATGTGTTGAGGGTGTTAATTATAGTTTAATAAATTTTAAATATGCCAATATGCGACTACGAAACGAGAAATTCAATTGTTTAATATTGGCCAAAAAATGATTTTATCAAATAACGGTGAAAATGAATGAATTATAGTTATTATTGAATAGTTGAGTTTACGCATTTCGAAGTGAAAGCTATTTAGACTTAGGAATGAATTACATTAATGAATTTTGCGTGTTTTATTTTAGAGTTTTGATCATCCAACTATATTAATTGCTATTTAAAAAGCGCAGATGAGATGGATTCATCACTAGGATATAGCTAGTTTGAAACATAAGTTTTCCTAGAAGTAATAGCATATATCTACGTCTTCCGACATGAAACAAAATAATAATTTCTGATATAAAGTAAATATATTTGACAAAATAAAAGGAAAAGAATAAAAAAAAAGTTCGACAGAATGTTCAGAATTGTTAGAATGATTTTGGGAAAGCTTTGATCTAACAGAGCAGAATATTTGGTGATAGTTAATTTTACTTTTTTTTTTCTTTTATTCTTTTTTAGGAAAGGTTTGTTTCTTTTTGGACATTATAGAACAATTATGATTTATCAATAAATGAATTAATCACACTTGGAGGATTCGTTTGAATGTACACAGTAGCAGTGTAGAAAATACTGGAATACTTACAGGATAATTGGCAAGTAAAATTAGAAGTAATTGTTAACTTCGAAGAGGAAAGAGAACAAATGAATGAGTGCACGAGAATTAGTCAAATTGCAGCATACTTTTAAATAATCAAATAACTCATAGATAAATTGAATTTAATTATATGCAATGGCTTATTAACAATGCTTAAAGAGCTGTCAATAATGAATGATCTTTATTCTTTATTTAGTAAAATTTGATGGAATTTTAATATCATGTAAATTGCATATAGAAGTGATTGCTAGATTGAAAAAAACTCTACGATATTTTGACAATGCAAGTGGAATTGATTTAAAAATGAAGAAAGCCAATTGAGTTAAAAGTTTACAAATTTTTAATTATAAAATATTGTAAGAGATTTGCTAACTTGACATATAAGCAACAAAATATTGTAAATCATCTCACATTATAAAGGATTAAGATTATCTAACTGTAATAGATTTTTACTTATTGTAATCATGCGGATTTATTATAAGTTAATGTAAAGATCTAAAATCTTTTTCAATTCAGTTTTTTTTTTTTGTAAAAAGTATGAAATAGAATATTTACTTTATGCATTTCTTCCTTATTATCATATTGTATAAATGGAATATTATACGATATCATACAAAGCCAGAAAAGCTATTGGCAACATTGAGGAATTATGGAATTTATGAGAACAACAAGAATATACTCAATCTTTTCCTGATAATACTGATCAAATTCATATCAAAGAACTTGAAATTAGTGATAGTACTTTTTTTTTTTATCGTGACTTATCAGAGTGTGTCCTTTTCATTTATTTTTAAAATAATTTTAGATAAAACATAACTGTTGTCTGATTGAATTAATCTGTTAGGTTTTTGTTCGTTTTCAAATTTTCTTAACTTTATTTAATACATAATATCATTTGTTACAAGAATGTTTTCCTTTCGAATGTAGCGTTATAATTTGAAAATTGAAAGTGATGCACTCCTCTGTTTTAGTACTAATTATTTCTCTAAGTTCTATCTGCGAGGGATTTTTTCTATTTTTACTCTTCATTGTTCCAATCCTCATTAAAGAAGGCTATTTAATTGGTTATTCTAAGTTATCCAAATCATTTTCTTCATCTAAATTGTAAGAGAAATCGCTGAATATTGAGGTGATTAGTTCATATGAGACAAATCTAGTTTAATAATCCAATAATCTCTGTAAGTTCGATCAGTCTATAAGTGACAAACAATACTATATGATATTGAAAAATTATTTTGAGTGAATTACTGTCTTCAAAACTTGCAAAATAAAACATTTGTTGCTGGTATGTGGAACGATTAATATTGCAACCAATAAAAGTAATAAAATTAATACATCTCAAATATTTGAAAAAAATATTCGAACTATAGGATGAGAGATTTGTTGTTGAAAAAGAAGCTGCCTAGCTTGCCATAAATGGAATATTTTCAAACTGGACTGTCTGTATAAGTTTCGGTTAGATCAAAAAATTGAATTGTCCGTTTGTTTTGCAGTCTTACTGTTTTCTAAGCTGCCAGTATAAATTTTTATTAATTCAATGAATAATTTTCCATCAACGCTTCCATTTTGATTATTACTGGACGGATATTATTGTTTGCAGTAGTATTTGTTTCTGCCCATTTGGTTTTCAGAAATTCATTTCTCAGAAGAAAATTCCTTTCAAAATATAGTCAACAGTGGCACCGTATTTGGTTGATAATAAAGCTGTATCAACAGACTTTCGTTCTTATTTAAAGAGAATGAATGGCGGTTCTGCAGTATCTAGAAAACTTAGACATCGCACTGATGT